GTTACATAATGTTTAACAACAAAACTCTCCCTTACAATAATAAACCCAAAGGTGTAAGCAAATAAGCATCGGAAAACAAAAATAAAGGAAATAAAAAATGGAATTAGCTTTCATTGGAAAAGAAGTAGACATAGAAGTACAGCATCTATGCAAGCAAAGGATGGAGATAGCAGATGGTTACAAGGAAGTTGTCTTTTGTTCCCAATTGATTCGTTTAAGTTCAAAATGGACCTAACTATTGCATATGACAAGAGATAGCAGCATTTTAAGGTCATATATGCCTACTTTCTTTTAAAGAATAATAAGAAACATTGTAGTAAAAGAAGCAGCTCGTTGCTACCTGCGCATCCCCTTTATAATTGCAATGAGAAGCTCCAAACTATATGCATGCAAGACTGGAAGTTCAGAACAAATTAACTCCCGTTGCACAGAATTCATAAATGGAAGCATGGTGGGTGGCAAAGAGCCATCAACCGTCAGCAGCCTCTCAACAAGAGCTAAGATTGACCGAACTGGAGCAGTAACCTATTAATAAAAACATATAAATGTTGCTTAAAAGGGCATGATTCTGATGAACCAATAGCTCCGAAGAAAAAAATGAGTCAGAATAATCTTTGATGGCCTCAAATTTATAAAGCCACATTTACATAGATCTCAATTTCTATTTCAAATAAAAGAAAACCTATGATAATACCTGAACTGGGTATGAACTTGTAAGCATTTTACAACAGCAAAACATCAGAGTAGAGATAGTTGCTGTAGGTAATCTTTCAGAACTTGTTCTGTTATAAGATCCACTTTCTAATGAGGTATGACCTCCTAAAGGTGATGGCAGATCTTTTCCAGGAGTAACCAATAATCTCCTAGCATCATCGGATTTAGCTTCTGCAAGTTATTCAAAACAGATTCATCTACTTATTTACCTCAAGAACAAATGAAGACTTATCCATAAAGGAGCTAAATTATAGTATTTTACCTTCTTCTACACCTTGAAAGGCTTCGTTGAGGTGATCATTAATTGATATCAAAATCTTTTGCATCATTAAGGACCAGCTATCTTTGTCTCCTTTTGATTTTGGGAGTAAAGCTAAGCAATAACCAAGTTTCTGAAGATTGAACCAGAAAAAAAAAAAGTGTAAAGGAATATGCCCACGCTACCTGTCTTTTCTTTATCTCATACCAGAAAAACAGAAGAGAGAAACAGTTTACCTTTAATGTTATAGTACTATATTTCCCTGAAAGAATTTTTGAAGCAATAGCAGCTTCAACCTGCAAAAATTATTTTCAACAAGTACATAGTAAACCCGTTAGCATGCAAAAACTATTGACGAAGTTACTACATTTTTTTTATTTCATGCTTCTAGTTTAAGGAGTTAACATAGTCAATTACAATTAAAAAAAAGAAAGTATTATAAAAACACCATAACTTCAATGATGAACGAAAGGGATAGTTTGTTAATCACGAATTCATATCGGAAATAAATGAAACCATGTTGTTTTCTTAAGATATATTATCATAAAGTGAACAGCCATGAATATTCAACCATTGATATGTCAGGGAGTAGGGCATATTCATGCTCATCGCTCTTTACATTACTTAAAAATTACCGAAAGTCGGAAGTCCCGTAATGCAAATAAGCTTACCTTGTCATAAGAATGATGGATAGAAGCTGGAAAGAAGGTTATAAGGGTGTACAATAAGCTAGCTGCTCCTTCCTGCACATGACACAACAAGGATGGTAAACAACACTAGAAAGCAACAAGATGAGCAAATAGAAGTCATTACTTTTCAACTTAAGAATGCATCCCTCCAATTCCTCCCAAGTTTAAAAGAGTTTTCAACTAATGTTGCCTCTATCTACATGCAATTATACATTAACGCGAAAGAATGAAAGAAAGAATGCCTTTTCATATCTTTTTGAATCTAAGCTATCATCCCTTACAATAAAACTTGCTAACACATTATAATTCTAAACATCATATGTTTTGAAGAAAAATATTACGGTAACATTAATGAAACTTTAATGAATTTCAAGTAAAATGTTTTAGAGGCATTTCTATCCATATAAGTTTGGTAAGTACAGAAGAAAAAAGAAAACATTGAAATACACAACGTACCCAAACAGCCTCCACATTATCTTCATTTAAGAGCTTCAAACAGGTTGGATGAGCTTCCCGGCAAGCGAATTCGCATCTTTTTTTACCTCTGGAAATCTAGCCAATCTAGTTAAGCAAAAAGAGTAGCTCTCGAAGTTACAAAATAGCTTTTATGATATATGTCATAGAGAATGTGGAGCACTAAAATTTGCTGTTTGGAACAATTGCTATCACAAAACAAGTAACTGAGCAAAAGTCATGGCCATACACCAGCGATATGCAAAAATAAACAACTTATACAAATATAAGCTTTCGTATCAAAAAGCTTTGGAAATTTATGGTGAAATGAAACAATCTTTGGGACATAAACTTTGCGATCAACATAACTCACCCAATTCAGCATGACATAACTAAACATGTGGAGGTCGACAAACATTTTAAAAGGAATTAAGTTGAAAGCAGGTTAATTTGCACTCCATAAACTTCTGCGATTAGCTAATAAGTAGACATTATAACTAAAGGATTGATAAGTACAACATTTTAAAAGATAGTGAGCAAGAAAGGAGGAAAATATCTGCTCCCCAACAAGAGGGGAATGTAGGAGATTCGAGATTAGCAGTAATTACAAAAGTTTCACAGATTACCAGTAAACAAGAAGATAAATGGTTTTCTGATTTCTAGGGATTAGTATAATGTCAAACTTCACTAGATTAGTAATACTTCACAGTATAATGCCATTGTATCCCATCAGAGTCAACACAAATAGAATTTCAGAATCCTCTATAAGTGGATTGCAAAGGTATTGGCTCTGATAAATAAACCTTAGATCTTGACTTAGATTTCACACTGTAGTATACTCAACGCTCAATACTCATTACATCTTGACTTTAATCTAACCTTGTACTAGCTTCCCTCCTTTGAATTAGTAATCACAAAAGTTTGGTAGTTACAAGATTCAAAGCAACTGCTATCAGCATAAATACTACATGCTTTTTTCGTAGAATAATGTATTGAAAAGTGTGTGTATGCATATTTCAGTACCTATTCATGCTATATGTGTTACTGTTGACAAGAACAACAAATATCTAACCTTGTCAACAGATCTGATAGTGAGGTACAAGAAGCAATCTTCACAAGTTGAGATTCTGAAGGAGGCTGTTTAGAACAAAAGAATATGACATGTATCGTCAAGTACATCAAAAAAATAATATTAAGAACTGCAGCAAAATATGCCTAAGTGTACACAGACACACCACAAAACAAATTGAACACTGAAAGAAATTCAAAGTTTTCATAAAATTCAAAGACAAGCTATGATTGTTAACTACATCAAAAAAGAATATTAAGAATTGAGGCAAAATATTCTAAGTGCCCACAGACACGCAAAACACATTAAATGTTGAGATAAATTGGGTTCCCATAAAATTCAAAGACAAGCCATGATTGTTAACTACAAGAAAGATCTCATAGTTCTTTTATTCATTGCAGCATAAGAAACAAATCATGACTCAGTAGCACAACGCATACAAGCTTTATAGCTAACTTGCCATCTACTACTCATAAAAAACCAAGTTAGAAAATCTAACATGTAGGCCAATTGAAATCAGAAGCACCATCTAATTTTGATCTGTAACCATATAGATATCACACCAACTAAAGCTTTTGTTACTATCTGTATACTCACTAACTCATGTTAATTTCTTGAACAACTAATAATAAGTTTATCGACAACCAACAAATGATTGGTGGCCACTTAAATGTTACAAAATTTGCTAATTTCAATGTGTTCTTGAACAACAAATGTAAAACCACGATCTTTCATGCATCGTAGATAGTAATACGCTCACACAAACAATCCTTTGAAAAGTTAAAGAAAAAATAGCCTACTTGCATATTGTTTAAGTAGATAGAAAAAAAAATATCTTAATGCGATACTTCATATACCTGAATATGTGATAGAAGCTTGTCAAGCCAAACAGAGTACGAAGTCAAAAACCGTTGATTACTGCACTCTTGACAAGTAACCCCAAGCAAACAGATTCCAACCCAACATTTATCTGACTACAAAAATTTACATAAGATTGAACAAACCCAAATTACACATTGCAAATTAGTTACAAAAATGAATTAACATAATGCTTCTCTATAAGCTACTGCCCAGAACCAGAATAACAGTTGATTTTCAGCTTTGGAAACGAAAATGCGAAATAATCACAGCAAATTTATAGGAAAATAATTGAAAGCTTCAAAAGAAAGAATTGAAAATTATACCATATCACTAGAGAGCAACGATAACAAGCAACCGAGCCAATCATCAACGGCTAATTTCCAGGCGTTAATGAGCTTTGGGCCCACGGAATGGGAGTCCAATTCCGACAAGAGGCGGTGGGTTTGAAGGACGGAAACCAGCTTGGGAAGCTCAAAGCAGCTGGTGTTCAGATCGAGAGGTTGGTTCGCGGCGGGTAAGTATTGTCTAATCAGACTCCGAAGCATCGAAGGCTTCAATCCCACATCGTACATGTTTTCAAATTGATCCAATTTCTCCATTGTTCAAGAAATGGACTTGCTTTCTCTTTATGCCACCAAAGAGAAAATATAGGGAGTAAAGCTTATGTCTTTGTTAATAAGGGTTTAGGGCTTATGTTTGACAAATAAAAACACAAACTTTCTATGACGAAATCAAAGTTTGGTGACTTGGATGTAAATATTTTTATTTTCAGTGGCTTAAAAACATATTTTTTATAGTTGGATGATCAACTGGGGTAGTTTACTCAAATAAATAAAAATGAAGTTTTAGGGAATGAAGAGTAAGCGGCGGATAGTTATGCTGCTTTCCGGTTAGTCTGTCCTCCATCACCGATTAGAAATACAAAAATGAAAATTTGATCAATTATTTTCCCTCTCAAAAGTTCTCTTACAAGAGTAGAGACAATATGACAATTATTTTAGCATCAATTGGCAAAATGACAATATGGCAACTAGTGAGGTGCAAACTTCCTCTTCAGCTTGCCAATCTCCTTGGAATTCAATCCAAAGGCCTTCTCCAGAAGCTTTCCTTCGATCCCGGCACCGAATACCGCGTTTGGTATTCGGACCGAACCCGGATTTTGGCTGTCAAAGCTCCCCAAGATGGTTGCAGGCTTATCTCCGACATTCATTTGAAAGTGCAGCAGTCCCCTTGGAAACACCATGACTTCACCTTTCTCAATCACCTTAGCGAAGATCCGGTTCTCGGTATCGACGAATCCGGAATAGATTCTTCCTTCAAGAACGAATGCGATCTCTGTCGCTCTCGGATGGAAATGCGGCACGTTGATGCCGCCGACTTCGAAATCGGCTCGGACGAACGACATGCCTAGCGTATTCAATCCCGGGAAGACGTTGACATTCACTGGCTGAGCTGCTAAGCCTGTTTCACCGAATTTCCCCGGGGACTTTATGCCGGTAAACACGAAATCGTCGACCGAGGCAGCCGACGAATTCTTGCATCCTGCAATCCCTGCGGCGGGAATACAAAAGTCTAGAACCGGATCGGGGTCGGATCCGAAGCTTGGAATGGCATAGTTATGTAGGACAACAACCAACAAAAGTGCTAGCTTCGGACACATTGCTGCTCTCAACTTGAAAATGGTGCTCCCCAGGCTTTTCAAATATAAATTAATGAACAAACCCAAAAGAATTTGACACTTTAATGCATGTGAAACCCACAAATATTTTTGCTTGGGATCAAAGAGAAAAAAATGCAGTTTTTGCAAATGCTGGAAAGGTTTCTGAGTTTATAGTGGAATATTAGTCAGAGCAAAGAGTAGTTGTATTTATCGATTAGTCTATTGAATCGAGTGATAAAAATTTGATATTTTCTTAAAATAAAATCTTAATTTTGAGTATTATAATAGAAAATATAACTCTAAATAAACTTTATTTTATTTTAAAAATCTGATCCGATTTTAGACATAATCAGAATTTAATATAATCTATCAAATAGGAGGGCCTTTAAGTGAAATAAGGAGAAGAAAGATTAGAAGTTTTAGGGTTTTGATTATTGAGCTAAGCGTATATTTTAAGGCAATGGAATCTTCAACTCGACTCTAGGTTTCAACTACTTGGAAACAGACAAGGTGTAAAAGAAGATACGCATGAACCAAACCATGTGCTTAATCTATTTCTTTATATATATATATATCCAGGACCATGTTCCCAGCATGATCTAAGGCTTTACATTTAAATTTTATGATTCGATAACTCATCAAGTGAGCTCAATGATAAAAGAAAATATTGTCCTTCTAAATATTTATATTTGAACATTTATGTACAGGGCGTGAGTACGTTACCAATAAGTTTAGGAAAATGTTGAACAAATATTACTTTATAATCATATCTCAAACTATTCAAAAAATATAATTTTATTTTTCATTCAAATTAAAATATTTATCTTTCCATTTATTTCGTTATATTTTAAGTTTAATATTTTATCATTATAGGAAAATACATTTTAAGTGACATTAAGAATGATAATTAAAAGTATCAACAAAATTTATTACAATTTATACCGAGTATTTTTTTGAATCGCCACTAATAACTTTACTCTATTATATTAGTGATAATTTTTATGAATTCTGTAATAGATTGGATTAGGGTTAGATTAGATTAAGGGCTGTTTTAGTTTAAGATATTGGGCTATTGACTTCGTTTAAGTATTTAGGTTGGTTGAGACATTTCGGTCATAGGTTTGTTTAGATATTAGGGTTGGTTGGGTTGGGTTGGGTTACTGGATTGTTGGCAGATTTGGATTGATGTAACGTGGACTGATTTTTTTAATTTGGATTGAGATAACACAGTTACTAAGCATAGTATTAACCCGAAAAATAGAGGTAACACAAATATATTTTTGAATAGTCCGCGATTATAACGGAATATATGTTCACATATTTTTCTAGTTTATTAATAATGTACACACACCATATAAATATAATTGTTCGAATTAAAATCTTTTAAAAATATAATATTTTTTATTTCTAAAATCATTCAAGGAATTAAAAGTAACACAAATAAAGAATACTGAAATTTAGATATTGCATTATTGAGTGTGCATGGGGACAAGTCTTACTTAAATGAATGGTTGTAATTTGGTTTGTGCATCAATATCTAACTATTGAATTAATTATATTCATCTTTAGAAAATGGAAAAATATATATAATATGTATTGAAATAATAAATAGGAAAAGTATACAAATGGTCCCTCGATTATAGGGCACAAACCAAATGAACCATTAATTATAGGATATTGCTTTGTTGAATCCCTCGATTGTAAAAAATGGTCAGTTTGAGCTAGCAGTCTGAGTTGGACGTTAACATGTTATGTGTGATATGATAAAATATGATCCCAAAATCTCAAACGACTATCATATCTCAATCAACAGGTTAACATCTGACTCAAATTGTCATCAATTATTTAACGAAAAAGAATGAGTCTGGAACATATGAATAGTCGGGTGATCATGTTGTAACTTTGAATAATCGAGGGACTCAACAAAGCAATATTTTATAGTTGAGGGATCTTTATAACTTTTAATGGTCAATGGATTAAAAAAAGCAACGGTTTATAAACGGAGCATTTGTGTACTTTGCCCTAATAAATACCATGAAAAAAAAAATAATAAAAGATTTACTTTTTGGAATTTAAAGAGTAAACATAAATTAATAAAAATATCTTGAAATATTAAAATCAATCACCACATTCCGTTTCCAACTCAAAGAGAGAGAGAGAGAGAGAGAGAGCGAGTCAACATCGCCTTCTGAGTCTGTGTGACGAAAAGGTAATTTATCATCTCATCACAGAAATCTGGGTTTCATGGTTTAATGTAAATATGATAAATCTTTCAATGATTATGCTTTCTTATTGAAGTTGAAATATGATAAATGTTTTTCGCGGTATGGGTTTTTCTCTTCCTGGTTCAATAGATTCATTATTGCCGGGAAACGTATTGGACTTGGACGAATATTTTGTAGATTCTGGCTTATGTACAAAGAAATCATTGTTATTCATAGTTTTGAATTCCTGATTATAGGACTACTTCATTCTTCAACAGATTTGAATTTGTTTTACTTTATTCGCCGTACTAGCTACACTGTGAAGGTAGTCTTAAAATAACTTAAAAGGCGATTTGACTTGCCAAAAACTAGTTTTTGGTACAAAGGTGTAAGCAACTTTGTATAGGTGTAATTTGTGAAGGATATTATAGTGCTCGAACTATTGTATGATGTAGATTTGACATGCTTCTTATATCAACGGATACTGGTAGAGCATTATAAATGAAGATGCTTCTGATCATGTTGAAGAATGGATTTGTAGTTGAAAGAGTACTAACCTTCGATTATTAGAACCCATATCATATAGTTAGAAAATGGGTTTTTTTTCTTTCTCCCTTAGGATACCAGTGAATTGAGTATTTTAAGGTGGATTATAAATAAAGAGTGTAGGTAAGAGGATAGACATAAATTCATCCAAATATGTTTACTCTTAGCTCTTATTGTTCCATCCAATGAGGATTTAGATCCTGAGGGGATTCTTTTGATGACCATACATTCTAAACTGACCAATATAGTTACAAATAGAGGGGAGCAGGAGAGAAGAGAAGAGAGTAGTAATGGAGGAGATAAAGGTGGATGAGAAGGAAGTGCTGGCATGCTGCGGTAGCACCCAATTCGCTAAGCAGATGGCTATGGTATCTCCATTTCTTCACTGGATCATGCTATCTCTATAGCCAAGGATATCTGGTTCAACAAGGTCGCTTCTTTTGTCCTTTTTTTTAAATATATATCATCGTTAATCTATTATTCTTATTCAGTTTTGCTCAACAATAATCATAATAACTATTTTAATTTGATGGGTGAGGTTGATGTTATTGGTTGTTGGAAGCATTTGCAGCTCATCCTCAGATTGGAGAATCCCCTTCTTCTCAAACCACCAGTGCTAAGTTCGTGTTTATTCCTTTTTCCTTTTTGGTCAAAGCTATTAGCTTAAGATTTTACTTCTATCTTGATCTTATCATTCTATATCCTATTTACTTGTTCTACGAATCATCATCACCTGCTAACCCAGGTTGATCTTACCTTTTTTTATTCCTCTAAATTCTCTTTTCTTGTACCTTGAGTTTTGAATACCTTGGTTCCATCCTACAGTAATAATAATGAGACAAAAATTGGAAAACATCGTTTTTAAGTTCTACCAAATTTATTGCTTAAGAGTTTAGACTTAACTTTTTCCTTTGATATATCCATTAAATCATTAATGTCAAATTTGGTACATAAGTAATAACATAAGGAAAAATGTTAATCATTGCATGAGTTAAAATAGTTTGTCTAATATAAAGAAGAAATAGGATAAACCTAAACTTGAAGTTAGAAAGATGAGTAAAAACTACTACCTATTCAAAATAAGCATATATATTCCTTCTCTTGTTCAAATTAAGCCATGCACGGGCTAAAAATTACCTAGTGAAGGTAGTTTATTGCTGACTCATATACTAAAACACAAGGAAAAATTAACAGTCCAACCAAAAGTAGCTTAAATTGCATATTCCCTTCTCATCTCAGTATTTTCGACTTTTGTTTAATGTCATGTTTTGGTGGTTTGATGGAAATCAGTGGCCAGAAAACTGCGAACCAACACAAAATTAAACAAAATACAAGCATTGCTAATATAATTTTCCTTTCTCTTGACCAAACATTTTATATTTTCTTTGTAATTGGGTTTTCAATTTGCCTTGTAGTGTTTCCTTTCCCTACTTTTGACAACATCCTATCCCATCCCAACTTAAATTTAGTTATGGTATGAACAGTAAAACAAACCAAGTTCCATTTTCATTTTCAAACCCTTCAACACTTGCTAGAAAGAAAGTGAAATAGTTTAGAATCCTTTTAATCGTAATACCCTGCCCAATTACAAGTATTCTTTGAAATTCTCCTCTCTTAAAAGTATGGATTTTTTTAGTTTTTATTATTAGTTGAAATTATTCCCTTTTTTTAATACAGGTGGAGTAAAGGAGAACAATCAACTGCTTTAGCAACTGCCACTGACGTTGGGTTAGGGTTGGACTTGTGCTTCACTTGAACAATTAAAATATGTTTAGGCACAGAAAACTTGGCTCTCAGGAAACATGATTGCCAAGCTACCAAACTGCACCCTTCCACATTGCATAGTTAACCATGTAGCATTAACAATTATATTTAGTTACAACTTTACAAAGGAATGATCACCTTGGCCTTACAGGAACTATCCGACTGGAATGCTCGGTATAGGCAAAAATTTGGACATGTATTCTGATATGTGCGCTGGGAGGAGTGCTGCTGAGATACTTGGTGAATTGAAGGTAAAGCTTGCACTAATATTGCTTTTGCAATTGCCATAATCTAAAACTTGTGCTTTCTTCAAATGACTTCTTTAAAAGGAGTTTGGGATTAATAAAATTGACTTTAATTGTTGGCTTGGAAATTACAACCTTTTAATTGAGTAATTGTCCTAGGGTAGTTCATTATTTGCAGAGCAGTTGTTAAATGCATGAATTTTATGCTAATGGTGAAATTATTTCTGGCCCCTTTTACCTGGCCTTATGCTTATATTTTTTCTTGTAATAAAACAATGAATTACCTGAGCATATAACTTGATTGAGAACATGTTCTTGTACAATCTCTTATCTTTTAAAGTTATTGTATCTAAGTTCTGTAGGTCACCGTATGCC